ATACATTGCATCTAGGCCTAACGGTACAAATTGCATACGATTTCATACCGCCAAAAGCAAATTTAAATCATGTATAAAAACAGCTTTGTACTTTAAAGCGGCGTAAATGTTGATCACGTCGTAATTGGTAAACATTCTTTTTTTCCTAAATCAATAGCATGTTTTTAATACAATTTTTTTTTTTGATACGACACTTGCAAAATATTGCCTATTGGCACCAGGAATCAATTTTTGTGCTCTCCTGAAAAGTTATTAAAAAACACATAACTGTTTTTGTTGGCGCAGCGACGATATTTATAAATTAATTTATTTGAATCTACGACATTGATTTGGAATGTACCACAATTTTTCATGCTTATTTACCACTAATAAAACATTTTACGTGCGAACACTCTCAACAGCCAGTGATTGGACTTGAAAAAATTTGTGTGGTAGAATCTGAAAAAAAATGTGGTAGATTTCAAAAAAAAAATGTGGTAGATCTCAGGTATCGGATCAAACTTTGTACAAAAATTAAAAAAAACTGCAAGGTTTCACATAAATTGCAAACATTTCAATTAGAATCTAAAACAAATTAATTTTAGTATAATAAAGTGCAATATTGAAGTTGCTAAAAATTGCGTTGAGTTTTGGCAATTTTTTCCTTGAATGTGTAAAGCAGCTCCTTCCATATCAAGATATTTTTCGAACATATTCAGCCTCATTCCGTAAGTCGTAAATTAGGCTAAACTGTACGACTCGACAACATTGGCATTGTCCACTGTCGTGCTGAAATAAGCAAACGAAGAAAATTGTCGAAAACTATGCAGTGCTGCCAAATTTTCCGTTTAAATACACTAGACGAGTCGAAATTTTAGGCAATGACATGAAATTTTCGATACGATTCGACTCTCGAAAAACAACTTGCATTCGACACGACTCTTGCAATGAGGCTGAATATGACAGATTTCTGCAACCTTGCGGAGTGCTGTCAGGTTTTCTTTTTAACACATCACGATGTAACGAACAAATGTGGCACGTTCCAGAAACCGCTACTTGGGGTTTGCCGATTTTAACATTTCTCAAGTAAAAGTAAACAACGCTTTAGAAACTTTAGATGCACTGAAAATTGCTAATACTTTCACAAAAATCTCCGTTTTTTAACATTTTCGCTATTTTTATAAATCATATATTTTGCAATTTAACACAATAAAAGCACGTTTCCGGTCGAAAAATTGAATATTGAGAAAATTTAATATTTTACAGTTTATTTTATAATCCCATTCTGTCTGTTGTTAGTTTTTAGTGTTGGACAATTTTTGCTCTTAATATTAAAAAAAATTATGTCGAGCAAAAATAAAAGTACTCAAAAATGCGAATATGTGGTAGATTTCAGACCTTGTGTGGTAGATGTGGTAAATGCTCAAAAAAGTGGCAGATCTACCACAATGTGGTAGAAGTCCGATCAATGTCAACAGCAACTGATTTGTTTTGCTTTGCCGAAATACCAGCGAAGCATCAG